TATTGTTTGAGTACTTGTAACAGAAAATCAATGTTTATTTTAATATGCAAATAAAATAAATACATAAATTAAATATCTAATAAATTTACAACTGTATACATTAAGAGACAGCTCTTATTAATGAGTTTTTTTGGTGATTGTTTGGTATGAATGTTGGTATTAGAGGTACTGTTCTTTAAGAATTTTACATTTTTAATAGGCCAAACGTGTCTCAATCGTGCCACGTACGTCTGTCACACGGCTCGAGTCCTCTCTGCATTTGTCTTTCACTCCCCACGTATAGCTGTCTGCCGCGTTTTCTACATATCATCTTGCACATCTGCTAACATCAACACTACCTCCCCACAATTCTCTTCTTAATAAAGCTGCTAATCTAAACGCTCAAAAAAGTGTTTCTATTACCTTCTTGCCTAACACTCTCGCTGATGCAACTTCACGAGAACAATCGCTCTATTTAGTCCCATATACTATTTCCAAATGACCCTCTCATTTCACCTGCCGCCTCCGCCAGAGCACTGACTCCATCACCTCCTACCCCTGCCCTACGAATCCCAATACGGCAATTTATGGTCATCGAGACAATTACATTGCTGTACACTATGTGACCAAAAGTATCCGGACACGTCCAAAATGGTGTTAAGGTGCTGTCGTATTTTTCATGGAGGGAGCTTGCATCCCTTGTGTAGCACTATCACGGCACAGACTACGTTGATGTTTTAAACACATTGTTGTTTCCCATAGTTGAAGAGCAACGCGATTGCATCTTTCAACAAAATCGAGCTCCTCTCCGTACTGCGTGGCCTTTGGCCGAGTGGTTACACAGCTATAACATTCCTGTAAATGGACTGGCCAGCACAGAGTCCGGACTTGAATCCTATCGAACACCTTCGGGGTGTTTTGGAACGCCAACTTCGTGCCAGGCCTCACCGACGTACATCGATACCACTCCTCAGTCCAGCACTCCGTGAAAAATGGGCTGCTATTCCCCAAGAAACCTTCCAGCACCTGATTGAAAGTATGCCTGCGAGAGTGGAAGCTGTCATCAAGGCTAAGGGTGGGCCAACACCCTATTGGATCCCACAATTACCGATGGACCGCGCCAGGAACTGGTAAGTCATTTTCAACCTCTTGAACGAATACTTTTGATCACATAGTGAATCTATCAACGTTTAGTCATGTCCCTTTCCTCAACGCCAAATTTCCTTCGTACCTTCCTCGCTTCCCTGCGCGCTCTGCGTCCCCAACTGCGGAGAAAGCCTCCTCTGGCATCGGCGCGTCCTCTAGCCCCGCCCCCTCCGTCGCCACGCCAGCCCGCCCCCCGCCCTCGCCTCCACTGGCACCCCTTCGTTAGGGTGGCCGGTTGTCTGACGAGATACGCCCGCGACCGCACTTTCAACCATCCGCCACCACCGCTGCTGGCGCCGCCGCCGCCACCCTGCCTGGCCGCCGCTAAACCACGGCGCCACACCACCCGCCGCCGCCGCCGCGCCGCCGCCAAACGCCAGGCCCCAACTCCGCGCCCCTAATTGATCGGAGCCAGCTCCGCGCCAGCGGCGCCCGGCGCCGCCCCGCGCCGCGCCTCCCCCGCTCCTCCGTCTCCAGCCGGATCAGAGTGTAAGAGCGGCTACTTACCAGCGCGGGATCTTCCTACAGAATGGTGGCTTTCAGTGTGTGCGTAATGCGGTGGGAGGGGTCTGAAGGGGAAACGTTGCTACGTTCTGACGCGTTAGAGCGAAAGTGAGCACAACACAACAGACGTTTACTTCCTTAACTTTTTAGAAGTACTTGAGGACTTACGTCAAGCACATTCTTTTATTAATTTCTACTCACATTAGAGTCCGAAATTCTAGTGCCCCTAAAAATTTAATAAAATTTTACTTTTTTCTAACAGGTTGATTCCTTTTAATGTTCTTCTTCGGATGTCAAAGTGTCAATGTCAAGTCGGTTTTTGCGTGCGATTTCTGATATATTTCTCGTTGAACTGAAATAGGTATAAAGTAGTATGCTGCCAATCTAGTACAATGTTCTCCCTTTTTCCTTGAATATTCTACTGCAGCTTATGGAATACTTTCAAATTTTAATTTCTCCAAATTGCAATAATATTTTTTGGGAGAAGCTGGCTCATTGTTGAGGAAATATACTTTTACTGCAAAAATATGGTTTCGAATGGCCATTTTACTAGTGATTTTTTAAAACTTTTTTGCCTCTACTTGGCAAAAAAAGATAGTATTGTCAATATTGCACTTAAAAACAAGAAATTTTCGACAGAAAAATCAATCGTTTATTATTGGGCCCTTGTAATAAACTGGTAAAGCTACAAAATCACATGCTTTCTCGCATAATTTCTAAAATTGCAATTTTCAAACATTCAGAGAGTTAAACATATACGTGATCTTTACCTTTCTTTTAAGCGTCCCTTGTTCTATCCGTGAAAAACAATTGAAGAAAGAAATTGGAGCGGTTTCTGAGAAAATGTTTTTAATTGCATTAACTTCAAGCGAAAATTAAGCGAAAAGTATTCATTTTTCCAAAAATTGTACATGGCCTTTTTTAGAGATTTGATTTTTTAGAAGAGATTTTGTTTCAGGCAAAAATCTGTATCTTCAATTTTGTACTTTTGAATTGTTTAATTTCTAGTCTTCGAAAATGAAATAAGTGCGCCGGTAAGAGAGTAGCTCCATATTTCTTACTGTCTTTTGATAGATACAGGAAAAAATGTGGACCGGTTTTGGAGAAAATAAATGTTTTAAAAAAATGCTTACATTTCACAAAATATTACGAGAAAAATACTAATATTGTCTAAAAATATATTATGACATTATTTTAAGATCTGTCTATAAAGAAACAATTTTATTAATGAAAAATCTTTATCGTCAACAGAAATAGAAAATTATAGAAAGACTTATAGAAAATTGAACTTTTGAAGTTCTCGATACATCAGGGACATCAAGGAAAAATAAGACCATCCTCTTAAAGCGTCCTTTACGCTATTCAAGGACAAAGTTTAATCACAAAATTTGCAGCTTTTTTTTGAGAATATTTAGAACATTTTTTGAGGCTTTATGTAAAATACTACCCCCAAAATAAAACTATCCGTTTCAAGCACGGCTGGTAACTAATTTATTTACATCGACTGAGGAATATCAATGTGGGAGAAAATCGGCGAAACGGTTTACGCTCGGAAGTTGACCACAGGCGGACAGAGAGACGTTTCCTCGTCAATCGATTTTTCGGTATCAAGGGCGCTCAACAAATAGATTCAGATTCAACGTGTTAGACGAAGCAATTTACTTTATATAGGAACAAATGTTATCCAAGTTTTCGTTAGCAGGGACCGGCAATAAGAGTTTTTTTTGGCCAAATTTCCATTTCCGGCGAACGAAGAAAGGCCTTAAAGGCCGAAATAAGGTGACAAACTGAACTAGCGGTGCTACAAAATGGTACAGACGTTATCCAATCGCTTACGTAAAACTATAATAATCCTATTTGTATCTTACTATCCTACTAGTAGTTATTTCTTAAAAACTTTCTTCAGTAAACAAAGCGTATAACTTAGAAAATACAATTTTTGAAATTCCACAGGTCAATATGAATGTTAAACTTGCACCATATTGATAAGTGCACTTTACTCTCGATGAAGGGAAAAAATTAGAAAGCTAGTACTACAACAGCACACATTTTCTCGCATTGTTTTTAAAATTTACAATTTCGATTCAAGACGATTCAACGAAAATGAGATCTGCGCCATTCTTTTATGCGTTCTTGTGCTATACGGGAAAACATTTAAAGAAAAGTTTGGGACGGTTTTTTAGTAAGTGTGTTTTTTAAAAGTTTCATTAATTTTACGCAAAAATTAGGCGGAATTTACTTAATTTTTTTTAAATATTGCACAAGACCTTTTTTAAAGAGCAGAGTTTTTAGAACAGATTTTGTTTAAGGCAAAAATCTTAGTTTTCAACTTTGTAGTTTTGAAATGTAACTTTTTAGCAATTTTCGAAATTACAGAGTGTTTAGTGGAAATAAGACTCGCACAAAATTTTTATTGCACTTTCATACATACGAAGAGAACATTTTAAAAAATGGAGCCGATTTTAAGAAAATAATGAAAAAATTAAAATTGCCTAAATTTCACGGAAAGTTAAGTAAAAAATACCCCAATTTTCAAAATATTGCACAGGAGATTATTTCAAGATATATTTTCAAAGAACATATTTCATTAAGAAAAAAATATATGTTCAATATTGTGGTTGTACGAAGAGGCCAATACAATTTGAAGTTTCGCAATATTTGAAAAATTAGGGGTTTCAACGAAAATTGTATCTGCTTCTTTCTTTTTAACGTCCTTTTTTAGGGTCCAAGAACAAAGTTTAATAATCAAAATTAGAGCTAGTTTTGAGCAAATTTAAAAATGTTTTGAAGTTTCATGAAAATTACCCTCCAAAATCAAAATGTCCGTTTCAAACTCAGACTGCCTTGAAGTTTATTGAAATTAATTTGGTATTATCTTTTTGGGAAAATCGGCTGAACGGTTTAGGCTCTAGCATTGACGACAGACTACAGGGCATATCATGAAATTTTTTAATGTGTTACTAATCACCTATCAGTGAACAGAATAGTGAATTAGAAGAAGTGGTACAACAACCGCACGCATTTTCTGGTATTCTCTGTCATTAAAAAAACTAGATATTTTAACGGAAGTGAGAAGTATGCCATTCTTTTAAGCGCCCGTTTCCCATCCGTGGAAGAAAGCACAGAGTTACACAAACATGGGTAAAATTCAATGTAGTGAAAAAATAAATTCACACAATAATTAATATAGTTGTAATTTGCAAAATAATGTGTAACATACTAACCTCTATAACCAAACCCAACGAAGTAGACAAAGGTCTTGTTTGTTTACATTTATAACGAATAACAAGCATTCCAGAGAATACTCAGCGAGTTTCTTTGAGTACTCGCGTGGAAGTTATATGATTAAACGATTTACTTGGGCTACTCACGTGGAAATCGTTCCCGCACTGTCTGCAAATAATTCCCACAGTCGGAGAACCCCTGCTGGGCGTCGGGGCGGGGCGGCGGCTGAAGAGCTTTTGGCCCTGGAGGCTGCGACCGCCCTGCGCTGCGCTGCGCCGCACCCTGGCTGGGGGCGACGGACGGAGGGCGGGCGGCGCGCCGCCGCCATGCCGCCGCGCACGTCCTAACGGGGCCACTTGCGCTAAACTTCGCTCCGGCCATTTATTAGAAGTCGGACCGGAACCTGCGCCGCGGTCGGGGCTCATTTCCATAGCTATTGTCGAGGCGCGTCCGCTCCACCCCGCCCCGCCGCCGTCCGTCCCGGACCCCGCCAACACAGAGGCGGTGGACTAACGGAGAAGGGCTGGAGTTGCGCATGGGAGAGCACTAAGGTGAATTGTTTGCAGTACCGTAGTTTCGGCCTTAAATCAGAAAGGTTTATTGTAAGTGCTATCATCAGTTAGATCTGCTCGTTTTGGACAAATTCTTCAGTGCTTCATCATTGGAGAATCAAGATAAAATTATATTTAAAAAATATTGTTTTTCTTCGCAGCGATTAGAGCTCAATTGGAGCCTCGGTCTCGATTTCACGTACTTAGAATACCGTCAAAATCTTCGTAGGTCTTGGGGGTGGCATTGGGTGCTGCTTTCACGCCTTAACTAATGGTGTGCTTCTGTGTTCGTAGGTGTTAGAAAAACATAGTACACAGTAAAATCTGTCTCAGACGGAACCCGACGGTTCTTTCAAACGATTTCCTTCTTGGCAGGTTTCCGTCTTATACAGGGTTGCCAATGATTCACCATTTAACTTAATTACAGTATTTTTATATCATTATTCCTTCTAACCATTCGTTTTGAATTTTCCCTTAATACGTAAAATGTCATAAATTTGAGTTTTACTCACTTCGAATTTCGCAACTTAGCTTTTCTTTCAGTGTTCATCGATCACTTCTATTTTATTTTGTAGCGGAAGGGGTTTGCACATATGCCATCAAGCATCAAAGACATTATGACATATTATCATACAGCTTTCTTACACTATACTGCGAGCGGTCACAAAGTTGTGTGGCCTACACCTCATCAACCCTACGACTGCTACTCTAGAATGAAAAGACAGCCTTCCCGGAATTCCATTGTCGACTGATGGGATAGTGGTTATGCTTTAGAGAATTGAACGGGGTACGGATGACCCACGTTAAGGATTCAGCACGACAGCGACGAAATGGTATTTGTTGAGACCTTGAAAAATCACTCTGAAGTGTGAGAAAGTCGTGGCGAATCACTCGCCGTTTTCATCAAATATTATCCGACAGTAGGCATAAGAAGAATTATCGTCGTTTACTACATTTTTTAACGTATGACCCTTCGCAATACGCCATTCCAAAGATGTTGTCGGAAATGTAAAAATAAATTTCCTTCTTAGCCAGATAGTAATCTATTTACGTTCTCTAAAAAACATTCCGTTTTCGCATTAGAGAGTTTTCCGGCTTATAGAGGTCATTTTCACATGAAAAATCGTTGTGTTCTATGATTTTTGTCCGAGATGGCAAGCTTTCATCTTACAGAGGTTCCGTCTTAGAATGATTTTACTGTAGTATATTCCCCTTATTATACTCTTTTCAATATGAGTACGAGTTTTGATACGTAAAGGGCAGATATAGAAAATACATAAAAACTTGCTTTTGAGGGTGAACTTGGAGATGAATATTTGGATGAAATATCCGGAAGATAATCCTGAAGACATGTCTGTGAATATGGATACGGACAAATAGGATATTGTTATAAAACAATAAAATTAATTGTAGTGGACACTAATTTTCACAGATACGCAATCATGATAAATAAACTTACAAGTGAATACATAACAGTAAAAGTAATAATGGCTTATATACTTAGAGGCAAAGGTGATATTGTATCATATTCAAAATACTGCTGAAATAAGTGAGTAAAATGATGTGTTTTTGGAAGATTGAATTTTTAAGAACAGATTTTATTTTAGATAAATATTTTTCAATATTGTCATGACACAATTAATTTTTTACAATTTTCAAAAATACATAGTTCGCTGACAGTGGAACCAACACTAGCTTTTTTACCGTTATTCCGTATTTCGTTTATACCGTAAGGATTCCAAGAGAAAATTAAAGTACAATTTGGAGCCGTTTTGTGAAAATGTACATCTATAAATTTCATTAATTTCAATTAGATTTTATGATAAAAGCTCGATTTAAAAAAATGTTCTTAAACATTTTTAAAGATTTTTTAAAACAGTCCACTTAAGGCAAACATATCTATTTTCAATATTGTACTTCTTTAATATTAATGATTTGCAATTTTTGAAAATAGATAGACTTCAGTAAAAATGGGGAAGGCGCCAAATTATTTTAACGTGTGTTGATACCTACGAGAAAAAAGAAATAATCCGTTTTCGAAAAAATAATGATTAAAAAATTGGCTATTTTTCACCTAAAATTACGCGATAACTACTGATATTTTCGAGGAATTCTACATGACCTTATTGAGTTTGTTATGAGAAATTCTTTGACTGAGAAACGGAGTTATTCAAGGGCACATTCTGAGCTAACGCTGGCAACTAAGCAATGACAGGCAACGGCCATCTCTAGCACTAATGACATCACTACACCTAGCGACGAAGCCCCATCACAAGATGGACTTTCTATCTTATATACAAAGGGTCACTGACAAAATTGGCGAGCTTTTAAACATCTCCAATATAAAGACGGTCCACAAAACCTATGAAAAACCCCGACAAAAGCTAGTGCGCGTTAAAGATTTCGTTCAGTCTCTTCTGTAATCAGGGTATAAGATATTCAATGCGGGCAGTTACTGGCGAGATGGGGACAATCATTGGGTAAAGCCTTCGCGAACACGTTCACCATTACAAGTACAACAATACAAATAAATTGAACGCAGATCTTCACATATGCAAAGCTGGCTACGCTATTATTTTTTATAAAACGCGCCTCCTGACGAGAGAAGACCACTGGGCATCGAGGAGGGTTAAATAGACTGTAGAAATTCTCAAACATCCCCAAAAACCTCAATGCCGACCATGGCCTACGTGTCCACGAAGCATGTAAACATTTATTTTACCGCAACACCAGGCTTCGGTCCCCGCTGCTCCTTAACGTCCGACCACGAGCGGACCGACTTCTCCCACTCCGCCCACAGAGCCCATTGCCTGATTGGCCGATGTTTTCGCCGCATTCACCCATCGCTAAGTCAACAGGATGACGGGTAGAGGTGAACATCGCACCCTATAAACCCGTGTGCAGTCCATCTCCGCGCATTTCGCACCGAGGAAGGTCGCAGAATGGCGGCGGTAACGTTGGCATCCGTGCGAAGGATGTGGCGTGTCCCAGGCAGCTATTTAATTACCGACTGCGGCCGTGAAAACCTACGCTGTCATGAGATAGGGTTTTTATGCCACGGATAAATAAATAAATAAATAAAATAAATAAATAAATAAATAAATAAATAAATAAATAAATAAATAAATAAACAAATAAATAAATAAATAAACAAATAAATAAATAAATAAATAAATAAACAAATAAATAAATAAGTAAATAAATAACAAAAGTGTGTTTTTTGTAGCTTTCCCCGTTTATTTGTGCTTATTTCACCATTTAAAAAGCCTAACTCAGATACTGAAAGAACCTAATTTATGCGCCTAAAACGCGTAATTTAAAACCTAAAAATCTGCGTTCTAATGCTGTGGTCTACCGCAGTATAATAAGTTATAGACTGGGCCTTCGACTGTGGTTCTACCTTGTATGTCCAGCCAGGTTACTTTCCTATAGGGTGCTAACTTCGCCGCTTCAGCCTCTTTCGTCACGTCCGTAGTTCTTTGCTTGCATTTCCCTTTTTATCGCCCCACGTTTTTGCTGCTGCGGAAGTATCACAGTTGTGGCCTCCGACCGCAGTTCTTCTGTGTGCCCCGGCAACCTTCCTTGTAGCTGCTATCTTCACTGCTACTAGCTTTTCAGTCACATTCGAGGAGCGCGCTCGTTGCAGCACGACTGAATAATACCTTCATATGGTAGCTACTCGACTGTTTGGGAAGTGGTGCTTTCCAGGCACAGGTGCCAACGTCTCGACCGCCGTTCTGCGACCTTCCTCAGGGCGCATTTCGGTGAAATTGTTTCATGAGCTCTTCATGTGCTGCCTGTTGCTGCAGTAGAAGTTGTAGCTGCTCTTGCTGCATAAGTTGCAGAATTTGCCCAAACTCCGTTGCGCTTGGCACACGCGTCATTTTTCTCTCGTCCCCAATTGTTATGAAATATTCGGAAATGAACATGGAATACAAATAAAATTAGTTCACTTGTCGTGTGTTTACAATAATCAAAATCGAAACTGTACCGCAACAAGCCAGTTCCCCAGATAAAAAGATCAAACAAGTCCGTAGCACAGTCTTCGTAATCAGTGGGTCTTTATTACAACACAGCCCACCACTGTCCAATAGACCCAATAATTCAGCGTACATTTTACGTAAGCAGATGACACTTCTATCCAGCCATGAGCTCTCTCTAGCTACTCAGTTACCGATACCTACTCCCACGTATGCTGCCCGTTATATAGTCGGTTATATATATATATATATATATATATATATATATATATATATATATATATATATATATATATATATATCCGTCTTGGACAAAAGATTGTCTTTGAAGGGTATGGACATTATATTAATACCAAATCAATATGACGAGAGACTTAAAAAGTAACCTATATACAGACATGTACAAGTATTTTGTTTGAATTCGGAGAGACATAAAGATCTTAAAAATATACAATGATTATAAATAGAACAAAATACATGAAAATTCAAACAGTAATTAATAGATTAGGGAGAAAAGTTAACTATGCAGGATGTAAGAGAGTTTTTGAATAACGTAATTTAAATCGCGGAAAAGGATTACCTGTTTTTCCAGCTGTTGAAAAGATGCATAAGTAGGAGAAGAAGAAAGGGAAGTATATAATTATTTGAGGGATGAAGGAACCAGGACTTTAAAGGAAGAATACCGAGTTCGTGTAGTATATGATGTTTTTTTATGAACTAGGGTGCTTTCATGATTTCCTTAGATATTTATTTTGTATAATCTATAATTTTTGAATAAGAGATTTTACTGCACCACTCCAAATGGGGCATGCATAAGTTAATGATGGGAGAATTATGTATTTAAATATAGACAATGCTGAATCTAATGAAAGGTGAGAATTTTTGTTCCGAAATGGATATAATTTTAAAAGCTTGACATTAATTTTATTTATTATTGATTAAATGTGTGGTTTCCAAGTTACTTTAGTATCTAGTTGTAATCCAAGATAGGCAATTGGAGTTTTGTTACGAATCCAGGGAATTGCTTTATAGTTGATAATAAGAGGATAAGTAGGAGAGATTCTTTTTAATGAAATTATTTTTTGCTTGATATTTTTCACTGTTGATCTTAATTTGCCAACTATTGTACCAAGTAACAAGAATATTTAAGTCATCTTGTAAATATCACGACCAGTTATAATGTCTGCATAAGAAGTAAATAAAGATGTGTCATCGGCAAAGAAGCCTAATTGTGAATTAAATAAGTGTGGAATATCTGCAATGTAAATATTCAATAGGACAGGTGATAGAGGAGAACCCTGAGGTACTCCAGCATAGATATTGTATTCAGTAGAAAAAATATTGTTAATTTGAACTTGAAATTTACGCTGTAATTTACGCGGTCATTGTCTGTGAATTCAAGTGCACAGATTTTATAATGATTGTTGATTTTTATTAAATAGCCTATATACAGATGTAATAGTATATGTTTTAGATAATACAGGTTTAATTTCTTCGTTTGAGTACGATATAGGAAAATCATATAACATTGCTGATAATGTTTGCTGCATTGGATCAAGATAAGAATAATATCTAACTTGATCTATATTGCAAAAAAATTCTATAGTTTCGATAATAATATAGAATATATGATAGAATATATGATATAATATAGAATAGATGATATAATTAATTCATCTATTAAATCAAAGAATGTGAAGACATAATCACGTTTAACCTTGGGAGTAAAATTTGGTTGGTTTATTTCTGAAATAAATGCATCAAAATTGCTTAAGATCTGGTCAGTTTTTGATATATTAATTAGAGGAATGAAAGTTTCACATTGATTGGAATGATTCATATCTTGGGAAGAAGTAGAATAATCTCTTTCTTCTAGAAGTTCGTAAAATTGATTAGCAATAGGGAGATAATATGAAAATGATGAATCATCATCAGATCGTATGCGTTTGAAACTATTGTGATCAGTATCTGTTGCATTTTCAGGTGGCAATGAAGCACTGCTAGAAGAAGAATTAGCCGACTCATTTTTATTCACTATAACGTCTTGACTTTAATTAATAAATTCTTGTTGAGAGTGACGTTTTTGCTGTAAATGTTGAGTGTGCTGTTTCGGATTGAGTATTTCTTGTTCTAAAGCATAGATCCTTGCTTGAGACGCCATAATAAGCTCATTATAAGGAATTTCAAGAACTTTGTTTACGTTTGAAGGTTCGGGATAAATTGGATTGTTTACCACATTCAGTGCATCGGTTATAGTTTGAATTTTAGATTTTTACTGCTATAATCACTTCAGTTTTTCTTATCGAAAGAATAAGCATTTTAGTTTACTTTATAATGGGAGAACTTAAGTCTGACAGTGTTAACACAGTACTCACGCGCTAGAGAAGAAAAGACTTCCGCCGCGTGGGGCGGCAGCCCCGTGGAACACGCCCGTGCTCCCGCTGTAGTGGCGTTACCGCTTGGATGTTCAATAAGCACTGGTTGACACTGAACTGTGTCCTAACGCGGCGGTCCTCACTGGTCGAGAACGCGGCGTTCACTAACACTCTTGACTCGAACAGCGAGCGGCCGGCACAACCTTTCGCTACGGTGGCTCTGAGTGAACTCCGGGGCAAGTCCATGCTCTGACTCGCCGCGAAGTTCACCGTTACGGTGGCTGCCTTTGCAGGGCTGGCGCTCATTTATATGTCCCAACACATCTAAAACACCCCCACCGAAGCTTTGGAATGGGGTGAAACTAAGCATTCGCAATGGGCCATATTGGTAGCCGTCTTGTTTTCTTGGCCTTTGTTGATTGTGAGAGCGTAGTCTTCCGCGGCCGGAGTCAGTATTTACTAGGCTGTCCGGGTGATGCCGCGTCCATGGCGAAGGTGCCATGGACGCGGCGTCACCCGGACAGCTTAGTAAATACTTTGTTGATTGTGATACACTCCGTGTGCGATAAGCGGTTATAATTGCACGCTATGTGTTGTTGCGTTATTATAAGTGCGTAGTACAATTTAAACATGTGCTCTGAAAAATGTTTTCGGCAATGGTTGTATTTGAGTCAGAAATGAAGCTATTGGTGTAACTCTGTAGATGGTATTATTTAACGACCTTTGAACTTCCGCCTCAGAAGCCGTTACTGCTCTGATCTTCCGTACGGTCATGATTGCCATTACTTCGTCGTTACAGTTCTATGGTGTAGCTGTCGTCATAAGAAAATATATTAGTTCACTGCGCACTTGTATTCAAATCGCAAACATCATAATAATCCACGGATATTGTCCTTTCGATAATTACCCTTGCCGGAGATAGCACAGTATGTAGAATGACGTACAATTTTCCATTTTGTTTTCTTTCGGAACCAACATTTCGCAATGTACCATATCAGTAGCCGTCTTGTTTTCCTGGCCTTCGTTGATTGTGCGATTACCGGTTATAATGACATGCTCCGTATACGCTTTTTACATATTAATCTATTAGGTGAAATTCACCCATGAAAAACAATTTGAATAATTTTATTTATCTGAAATTTATTTTGTTTAAAATACTTTGTAATATACATGGATTATGCGTACTGTACCTTCAATATACTCCACAATATTTTTTCGTTACAATAACAATCACTTAATTCCTAAAAGAGACTAGAGAACATACTTTCACGCATTATTGAATATAGTTACGTAATATTAAAATGTTGTAATTTCTGTCGTACTAAAAATTTAGTTATAACTTGAAAAATCTAATTCAAAAAAATCGCCTCTCGGGCTTATCTGCATTTATTCCCATTGTCAAGAAGAACAGTCATTTCTCAGTTTTAGAAAAGAAACGAACATAAGTAAATCTAAATATTACAGTATTTACAGAACACGATACAAAAAATCAAGAGTAATTTCACACCAGCCTACCTTGAATACATTTGAAGCGAGCTGTCAGTTTTCTATACCATATTCAGCAAATAAAACTTCTTAAAATATTTAAGTGTGTTTGTTAGTTATAAGTTAAAATGCATTACTTTCCTTCAATATATGTCCTTTCATAAATATATCATCTTCATCATACAATCATCATGGCCGAAAACATGGGTTGAATTCGAATCCTCTGTGTTGCTCTTTTCCGAACTGGCAACGCGTGAAACGAAGCACGTGGAATTCGAATTTACTATTCTGAACTTTTCCTGCAATTTTGCCAGTGCAGAGTGCCCCGAAAATAGGTCAATCACCTCTATCTTTACAATTATTCGCTACACACGAGGATAAAAATGAAAGACAAAATTTGAAGCCGTTTCTTAGACAATTGTTTAAAACGAGTTTAGAAGCAACTATCTTACATCAAAAATTATGCAAAAAATACTCATATTTTCGAAATATTGAATAGTACCTCTTTTGAAGAACTGTTTTTGGTGAACACATTTCGTTCAGGAAAAAAATCTTCAAAACTGAAGTCGTAGGAAGACGCCAAAAAAATTTGAAATTTTGGAATTATTGAAAATCCAGATTTCCAACAAAAATGAGACCTGTACCATTTTATCAAACATCCTTTTCACCATCCAACAAAAATTCAATCAAAAACGATGTACCTACTTTTTTTGAAAATTTTGAAAAGTCCCAGGGACCTAATGTTATGTACCCCTCAAAATAAAAATATAGGTTTCAAATTCAAGTAGCCGCGACATCAGTCAGAGCAATTGGGAAATATCGATTTTGGAGAAAATCGGATGGACGGTTTAACCTCTAGCTTTGTTCACAGACGGACAGACGTTTTGTCATAATTCGATATCCGGTATGAAAGACCCACAAAACAAAAACCCTGGATACACTATCTGTTAGAGAATTTTTTTTCTAAATTTAGCAACTGATTTATCCACTTTCATTACCATGGCTCGACAAAAAGAGTTTTTCTGTCGATAATCCGCCGTTTTCCCCGCAGAATTAAATAACTTTTTCTTCTTAAGAAATGGCTTCTTAAGGGCAAGAAATAAAAATCACCATAATACACTCTAAAATTTAATCTTCTTGAAATTCTACAATTTAGAGACCTAATAATATTTTCCAAATATTTAGTTATGACTCACCTTTTCTCTTCTTCTATTTTCTCTTTTTTCCATACTTTCCCCTCTTAAATTCATTCACTTGAAAATTCCACTTCTTTCTTTTTTTGCAAGGAGAGGATGGCAGAAGTGTAAAACATTTGTCACATTTATTTCTTATATACACGTTTAGGGGTTCTATTTGAAGTTCACTTTAAATGTTTTGTGTATTTGAAATAAACCAAAGAGCCTTTGCACATTTTCTTAAAAATTTGTTTTATATTATCTGAAGTTTTTCAATTTTGGTGTAGACTGTGCTATTTCTGACATGAGTGAAGGCCTAATAATAGATTTAAATATGAAAATTGCTCATTCTAAATTTAAGGCTGAGCGGAAGTTAATTAATGGATATAGTTTCGATATTTTGGCATATGTTGCATTAGTTGTTAGTTCAATGTTATTTTTCCAGGTTAACCAGCTATCAATGTGGACCCTAAGATATTTCACTGGTGTATCAGATGCTAGTCACGGGATGAGAGTATTATTTAATACTAGTAGGCGATGTAACTTTGGTTTAAAAAGATATTTGAGTCTCCTAATGTGGGAATGTCTGAAAAATAAACATTGAAGAGGAATGGTCATAGTGCAGAACCTTGAGGTACCCCTGCCCTTATTGTCCTAGTTAGTGGAAGTTTACTTTAAATCTGAACGTTCGGTCAGTAATAAAACTATTTATAATATCCTGTAAATAGAAAGGTTCTCCCAGCTGTTTGAATTTGAATAGTAAACTAGTATGCCAAACTTTATCGAAAGCTTTCTCTACGTCTAAAAACAGTCCAATTGTATGCTGACGCCTTTCTTCTAAAGTAATTGTCATACTTTTCTTAAAACACTTCCATCTGCTTTCTATCTAATTTGTTGCATTACATTTTATAAAGATGTGACGGACAATAAATAAAATCCTACATACTTAAGGAAATGATCCCATTTTGATTATAAACAGCTTTTTGTCATGTAATACATAAAACTTCGTTAAAAATCACTCTTTTTAGAACCAAAGTTTCGAAATATTGATTGACATCTTCAGGGATTATACATATATGCATCTACGAATAGAAAGAAATTAAAAAAAAAATTTTTGGAAAATATTTAAAACTAAGTCATAATATACGTTGCGTACACACTTACAAATAGATTGGGTCCACCTGTCATGCATCTATATATGATACATCTATATATGACGTCTTTGATATCCGGCAGTTTATGTGATGATTTTCCATATTCCGTGTGAAAGTCGATGGTACTGTTATTAAACAGAACTAACGTTGGTGTGAGCTTGGCCGAAATCGGTCTTGGAGTGAAAAAAACTTTGTAAAGACATAGAATGAGGGCGGGGAGTGGTTGTGAATTACCTTTGCGGAAGGATTTTATGACTGGCAAACTTATTCTTTAAACTGAAAAAGGATTGTATCATTCGTATGTATGAATTTATTGGATTCTAAAAGGGAATTTAATACATTATGGATCTTTATATTTAGAGTTTCCATAGTTAACTTGTTGTAGTAGTTCTTTTCGATACTAAGTATTCTGGGTTTGTCGAAATTAAATGAATGTAACATGTTTCATCTGTGTTGTGAAATTTAATTTTGTCTGTCTAGAGGTTCATTAATGTTTCCTTTGTGCTCATTGATTCTTTCTTTTAGTTTCCTTTTTGTCTGTCCTACATATTTTAAAGGTTGCCGGCTGTGCTTTTATCATACATAGTTACATGAAATAACAGGTGGACATATTTTTTTGTAGTGTATACTCATCTTGAATTATGATTTGGTTTTATATAATTTAAAAATTTAAAAAAAATCTTTGTAGATGTATATGTGTGTAATTCCTGAAGATGACAAACAACATTAGTCGAAACGTTGGTCGTAAGAAGCGTGATTTTTAACGAATGTTTTAGGTATTACATGTCCATAAACTGTTTATAATTTAAATGCGACTATTTCCTAAATATGGATTACAACAGACAGTATACAAAAATATAATCAATAGAACCCTCCATATTACTGAATACAGCCTCCCTTCCGCCGGCCCGCTCCAGCGCGTGTGGGAGAGTCTCTCTTCGCAACGCCGCTCAGCTGCGGACAAATCAGCAGAGAGTCCGCGCGCGCCGCGGGATCAGTGTGATGTTGCTGGACCGTGATTAGTGTTGGCGGAGTTGAATAGCTAGTTTCAAACATTGCCACTGGACGCGCTGCAACTCGTGGCTGAAGCGACACTCCGAGAGCGTTTGTCCCTCGTGCAAACTGCCAGAACCTCCTCGTTGCCTAGCTTCAATGTATTTTCATTTAGCTGCGGAAATTACGACGGTGAACAATGAATCTCACAGTTATGCGACTACGGTGATATTTCGATTTTTTTTCTTTCCGACACGAAGAGTGCTCTAGTCGTCTTTTTTCTGGTTTCTTATTTTTTTAATATGCTTTTTAATTTGCTTAAGTTTTTATGGTACATCACCATATTCAGATTTAATGTGTTTACTTCTCCCCGTAACTTGTCACACACAGTTTCTAACCGTTATTGCAACAAATTTACTCTTTATAAAGTAAGAAGAGACTGGTAATAAGTTTCCCAGTAAGTTATATAAGTAATTTTATTTAACAACTTAATCCCTTCTTTATATCATATATATATATA